ATATACACTTCCTGAATTAGGGATCAGTTTTTTCATACACATATCTCAAGTAACCGTAACGTACAAACGTATGCTTGTTGGGCTCTAATCAACGAACGAACGAAAAGCACATTACTCAACCGTAAGTCTTAAACTTCCGTTGAATGTACTTATTCAACAACATTCAAATCAATGTTAAATATGTTCGAACTTGGAATTAGAACTGTTCAGAATTGACTTATGCAAGCGTAAAAAAATTTTTACTATTAATATTTTTTGTTTTGTTTTTGTTGTTGTCCAGTTCGTAAAAGACCTTGCAACAGAGATAAAGCACAAACAAAAAATAATTATGAAGTTCAATCTATCGTTCGATTCACCACTTGTCACTGTGTTATACCTGTTTTGGAGAATTCCAATTTTCAACAGTAACATATGCATCACATCCCATACAAGTTCACTATGGTGAGTAAAATAGGAGAAGAGCAGCATACATAATTAATCAAAACATTTACTAGCCAAACTTAACCCTGTTAATACAGTTGGTAAGAAGTCCTATGTACCGTAGTTTAGTACCGTTGTCAATAAGTTAAATAATAATATGAACTCATGATGATTTCAAAAGTAATTATGGCCGCTGAAGTGTAGTTTTGTCGAAGATTGTTATGCTTTAGCTGGATTCAGCGAAGAACAAATGACAGCATTCTTGAAGAACGTGGCTGGCAGGGAAAGAATACTTATTAGGCGTACAGTTAATCGTAAGCTCACTTTCGTTGGACACACATGCTGCCCTAAAGCTAATGAATTAGTAAATACTATATTAGAAGGCAAGGTCAGAAGAAAGCCATGACCAGGATGACTGCGTTCTCAGTACAAAGGCAACATTGAGGAATGGACCAAACAAACAGTAGCACGGACCTGCAGGAAAGCCCAAGACCTGGAAGCGTGCCTTAGATCAGATCAGATGACGATTTCACTTGATTTGTAGGACTAGGCGTGGCCAATTGGGTAGTGTGCCCAGACTATGAATCCGAGGGTTCATGGTTCGCATTCCTTTGCCCCTCACTTTGAAGACGTAGGTACGCTATAAGAGTGACGATCAAACCCCACAGACAAGAGTAGTCGAAGAGTTGGCGGTGAGTGCTGTTGACAAGCTGCTTTTTTCTTGACTATCAGCTCAAAGTTATTGACCGCAAAGAGCTGGTAGCCTTTTTGTAACTTTGTGTGAAAGTTCTAAAACATACAAAACAATACATTTTGAAGATGTATCACATGTATAATGAAGACCTGCTGAAGCATCGACTGAAGCACTGTCCTAATTTCGATTTCTAATTTATTTTAGATGTTTACGTGTGTGTGTAATGGATGTTATCCACGACACTTTCCACTAACTATAAACTTCATTATGTTCTGTATGTCTTCTGCACATATGGCAGAACAATTTTAAAGCTGTTGCACAATCTTCCAAAACCTTCTAGTAATAAGAACGATGTTGATTACACCTGCATTCTCTGTCCATATGAAGTATCTTCTTTTTCTTTTAGTACATCAGTATAACCAATTTTACCATAGGTCGTTGGTTTATTCAGCAGCTTATTGCTTAAGTCGCAGTAATGAAACATTGGCTGAAATCAAAAGTTTATTATTTGGAGATTAAAGTTCTTTTTAGTTTTCAACTTATTGCCCAAATGTCTAAATCCTTTCAGTATACACAATAAATTCAACGTTTTTGTTTAAAATGTGAGCCAATGAATCCGCCTAGTTTCTCTACATGACATTTTAAAGAGAGTTTATTTTTATTTACTAATATTGAAAGTATATATTTCAGTTTTTTTTTGGCCACCAGTGTTTGCCATCGTTGTTTGTTTTTTTTATCTCTTCAGGTTATTGAAAAGAGACGTCGTGATCGAATCAACAACTGTCTGTTTGAACTACGTCGGCTTGTTCCCACCGCTTTCGAAAAGCAGGTAATGAGGAACGCGTTTTAAATTTCACAGAATATTGGACAATTTTTAAAGTATATTATAGGCTCAAATTGAAGTACCTTTTTAACGCCAGTAATGAAATTATTATTATTTTGCTTTATGCATTTCTAATATTCAGTTAATAATAACAATGAGCCAACGTTTTGCCATTGTGACTTCATCATGACTAGTATTACAAGAACATATGATATGGTAATATACGGTAATATATATTTCACACATTGTTTTGTTGTACTAAAATAGCCTTGGTGAATCCATGGTGGTGAAACGTTGGCTGAAATATAAAAAAAAAAATATTATATGGAGAGAGAAGGTCGTATTTCTAACTTTATTGCCAAAATATCAACATTCCTCTAATATGCATTCAAAATTCTTTAAAATATTCTAATGCTCAACGGTTTTCCTTAAAACGTAAGCGTAGGAAACCACCTAGTTCCCGGTTCCATTCATAACATTTTAAGAGACTTAAAAATGGAAAATGATATATTCTGTTACATCACAAGTAAAGATATTTGAATAAGTTAAAATACACAGATACTATACAGAACACTAATTTCGAACACGCAGATACTATACAGAACACTAAGTTCGAATACACAGATACTATACAGAACACTAAGTTCGAATACACAGATACTATACAGAACACTAAGTTCGAATACACAGATACTATACAGAACACTAAGTTCGAACATGCAGATACTATACAGAACACTAAGTTCGAACATGCAGATACTATACAGAACACTAAGTTCGAACACGAAGATACTATACAGAACACTATAAGTTCGAACACGCAGATACTATACAGAACACTAAGTTCGAACACGCAGATACCTATACAGAACACTATAAGTTCGAACACGCAGATATTATACAGAACACTAAGTTCGAACACGCAGATACTATACAGAACACTATTTATCACGTATAGAAATTTCCACTGCAGTTCTCCATTTTATGAAATTGTGCTTTTTCTTTAGAAGAACTGAAATATGAGAACTTTGAACCTTGACGTTCGAAGTTTACATCTGTTTTGTTAGTTACAAATTCAAACTTCCCAACTACTTTACCATATACGTTGAAAACCATATTATGTGATTTGTTGCAGTTATCGGTAAAATATTTTGAGTAGAAAGAACGACTTGAGACAGGAAGAAATTTTGTATATATAGCTTCGTGTTTTTATACTACGAGTTTTTTTACTTATATTAACAGTATACATTTTACTTGTATTAACAGTATACACTTCAGTTCTTTGACCGCCAGTCTTTACTGTCATTGTTAACTAAGTAAGACTTATATATATACGAGGCCTGTGAGAAAAGTATCCGACCTTTGGCCGGGGAATAAAAACTGGCATACCTGGAGCGTTGGAAACCTAATCCCCCCCAAAGTAGTATCATTGGGACCCCACACACTTCTCCCAGCAGTGCCGCCATTGT